CCATTTATCTACTCACGTGAGTTTACAAACTGTTGGGTTGACAGGAACGGGGGGAGGAAGCAGGAGCTCACTCTGCTACGCGAAGGCTGGGCTCGAACCACTGAAGTGTTGACCATTTCTGACCAGCAACTTTCAGTGTCATTAAGCCACTGCGCCACCGTGTCCCCCTCCAAAGCACATATTTATATACACATAAATACATCTAACTATAGTGAACCTTTCCCCTCTTTTAAAGTTTGTTTAAAAAACCATTTTGTAAAAGAAAGACAAACGCTAAAATACAGGGTACATATTTAATCTTAAGGAGAAGTACAAACATTTTAAATATCCATGTTCAGTATTATTATCTACAGTTTCATTTGAACAGGTAAAGGTAATATATTAGGAACTACATTTTTAATATAGGTAAGAAATTGTGATCATATTTAATTAACTTTATCCATTATTATAGGGTTCTTCAAAACTGTATGTTATGTCAGTTTTTGAGCCAGAACAGTTAAATATCAGTGATCCAATGAAATATGTTTTAATTTTCCAGTGTTGTGCAATAACAAACCTGGCATCTAACAACAGGAATGTTATCAATTTTTTATACTGCACTGATATACAGTATATGCCATAGGAAATATTGGCAATATACCATCAGCAGGATTCTTATAAAATATTGTTGGATACATTTTCCTAAACTCTTCAAAAAAAAAGTTTAATCAAAAGAACTACCTAATTGGACATTCCTGACATTGTATTATATGCCAGTTGCTTATAACCTACCAACACAATATGAAAATACTACATTTGACATGGTGCCATTTTCACAAGTATAGAACCACCTATTAATTTGTCTTTACAGTCAATTCCTGCTGACTAACTGAATTATTCTCCTGCTTATAAGCAAGCTGTAACTGATAACATGTTCATCCATTTAGACTTCTTTCACCAACCTGCTGACCTCCAAATACATTGGGCTTCAATTCTCATAACTTGTACAACCTCTAGCCTTGACAAGTAGGGATTAAGGGAGTTGTAATCTAGTATGTATGGAGGCACAATGGTTGGGGGACATTTCTGTAGATCTTTCTCTCACAGAAAAATTACTAGTAAGAATGAAATGCAGGTGCAGGTCTTGAAGAACTAGAGAAATCTTTCCTGTGTTGCAGAATTTGCCCTATACTATGTAACATACAGGTAGCCCTTGTTTAACAACAGTAATTGAGACCAGCAACTCTGTCACTAAGTGATCCAGTCACATAGTGCAACATCACATGACCACACCGACTTATGAGTTGCGGCAATCCCAGTTGTTGGCAATCCCAGTTGTCATTGTTAGGTGAATCCCGCGCAGTTGCAGCATCCTGCGGTCACATGATTACCATTTGCAATTTCCTGCCAGCTTTCCCATTGACTTTCTTGTCAGAAGCTGGCATTGAAGGTCACAAATGGTGATCACATGACCACAGGATTCTGCAATGTCATAATTGCAAGCTGGTTGCCAAGCGCCCAAATCATGATCATGTGACCATGGGGACACTGAGATGGCAGCAACTATGAGGACCTGTTGTGAGTCCCCCTCTTTCAGCGGTGTCCTAACTTTGAATGGTCGCTGAACAAGTGGTCATTCAATAAGGACTACCTGTATATATTAGAGTGGTGTATGGGCTGGGAGACCAAACATCTTTAATGCTGATGACATTGGGAAAGTAAAAATGTGCCAGTAAGTGTTGCTTTCAGTGGCTAAAGAAGGGTTCATAACTGAACAATTTCTCACAGCTTTGAAGAAAGGCAAAATTATAAAGTCCTTGACGAGCTGCTGCTGACATTGAACAGGACAGCAACAGCAAAAGACAGAGAAATTAATGCAAGGACTTCAAATAAATCAAGAATAATGATGATCATTGTGCTCAAGAATCTTGTCATTTCATACAATAGCATGCTTGTCATTTTCTTCTTCGGAGTCTCATTGATGTGTGTTGAAATAACTAATAAGCACACAGAAGAGAAGGGGGGCAATTATAAGCGCATACACAGTTCTCTTTGACTTCTTTATCAAACCGTTGGCTCATTTAGCTTGACATACCTAACTCTTGCAGCTCTGTAGCAGACTTCTTTTACAAAATGCACCCAGCATGAACTAAATGCCTGAAGTTCTGAGCACTCTAAGGACCAGTAGAACACCTCTTTAATCTCTGCAAGGTGGCTGTTTATGGGAATCATGTACAGCACCTTTTTTTTGCAGAAACCATCTTAAGAAGCTACATTATACTTATTTTAAGTGAGTCTTGCTCTAAGTCCTGCAGTTCTGCTGAAACAGAAAGATACAAAGAACTGATACAAATCATCAGTTTGCCCCAGCACATATAGGGGCCATTACTAATGTCTCGAGGCTGGGATTACACAGTGCTGTCCCCTGCCCACCAGGAAGGCATCTTCCACCTGTTTTTCCACTACACATTAAAGGTAGAGTTTTTCAACTTCTGTCAACAGAAGCATTGCTATCTGGTTCATCTACTACACTTCATGTCATTATAGGCAAACACCTCCGTTCCAATTGGTTACTGTGCCCTATAGTAGGAACTCTGGCAATTGCTCACTGCCCTCCATGGCTATTTTGTCCTGGGCTGCTTGCCCTCTTTTGAAGGGACCTTGACTGATGAAGCTTTCTTTTTTTCTTCATTTCACTAACATACTGGTGAAAGGCTGAACTGTTTTTGTTTTTGTTTTTACAAGTTCATTGATGGGGCATTGAAAGGCTGGGTTTTCTTTTACAAGTTCACTAATGGAATGGTGAAGTGGTGGAGCTTTATTTTATTTTATTTTATTTATTATTTTTTTAACCAGGTAAAATTAACCAAGAATTCTGCCAGTTTCTACTTCTAGCCCAGGTGAAGGAAGTAGGGTAAAACTGTGGTGTTTTCTTTTTTCTTTATCAGTCCCCTGGTGGGCCTGCTAGGAGAGAATGTGTCAAATATGAAGGGGACTCAGGGGATGAGGATTCATACCAATGGATACCAGATGTCCTCAAGAACATGCCCACAGAAAGGAAAGTGATTGAAACTTGCTTTTCCAGGATGGGTGAGAAGGGAAAGAAGCAAGGGAATGTACCAATCAGGAGATGTCATAAGTGCAATCTGAAAACGAGGCTATCACCATAGATGGGGAGGGATTTCTTAAGACGGTTTCATTTCCAGCTAGTTTATCCATGGGAGTCAAGCAGCTTAAGGCTGCAGTGCATAACAGCCCAAAGTCTGCATACTAGGCCTGCAGGCAGGGATCCCTTGCACATTGCTTTTATTTATTTATTTATTCATTCATTCATTCATTCATTCATTCATTCATTCATTCATTCATTTGTTTGTTTCATAGATGTTTGTTTTATGTTGTCTCTTCTCAATATAATATCTTATTGAGAAGAGGTAACATAAAACAAACATCTATAAATGTTTCTACCATGCTGAAAAAGGTGGAAAAAAGCCTCTATGTGTATATAGAAAATTTAACTCTAACTAGTTTTATTCACACTGAAGTTTATGAATCAAAGGAGAAATTAGATGGATGGCAAAATGGCTGGTCTACTTGTGAAGTTGCCTTGACAGAAGGATTCATCTCAAGTACAGATTTTAAATTTATTTTATATTGCAGCTATTACTACTGTTTCCAACCAATCACAACTGCTTTATGAAAAACCTTTTAGTTTTAATGTGTTATAACAAGAAAAAGAAGAAAGTGGCTTTAAAAAATTTGTTTGGTAAGTAAATACTCCAACATAATTTTTGGAAATAGTCTATTGAACTTTCATTTGTACTGAAATTGGAAGTAATTTCACCTTTAAACCTCTGTTCTTTTTCTATTTGCCTTGTGAAATGTTCTGCAGAAAAATCTGTGCCATGTAACTAATTGCATAAGTTAGTTGCAAATCTTCCTTTCTTCCAAATGTATATTTTCAGAAGGATAACATCCGTATCATATGAAGAATATTTTGTAACATGGTTTAAAATTGCCACATCAAGACCTGCTGAAGATTTTAAACACCCAGGTAAGCTGATGTTTTCGTTTCTTTAAATTAAAAATAGCAAGCCTGATTCTGATTTTGCCCAAAATGTAAATAAGTCAAATGGGTCTTTCTTATGATCCCCCAGTTTAAAGGCAAGCCATAGTGACTTCCAAAAAGAAAATTACTGGGGGGGAACCCTTCCTCAAAAGTGTGTGACACTGTTGTTGCTCCTAATAGAAGTATTGCTATACAATCTGGAGCTTTAGGATGTGACGGCGATCTGGCTGCGACTGGAACTTTATGATTTTGTTTCTTATGGACAAATGCAGAACTCTGTTGTTTTAAAAAGAAGGCAGCATATACCAGAGGTTTAAATTCAAATCATCATGAATGCCACGAGGACTAGTTCATTAAATTGAGGAATGCAACACTGAAGCCTTTTCATATAGAGATACAAAAAACTTTACTGAGTAAAAAAAGAAAAAAATGAAAATGATTCCTGGTATGCTATTACACATACATTTATTAAATTAAAAAACCTTGCTGGGAAACTTGTGAAAGAGAGCTGTGAAACAGCATTTCATTTTGGTGACTTAGTTGGCAGTATTTTCATTAACCAAAATACCAAATTTGGTTTTATTACTAAGCTGATATGATGTAGAAAGCACATCTCACTTAGAGTTGCCCAAATCCTGCTTTTCTGTTTCTTTTTTGTCCTTGCTGAACACATGGAATTTTCCTTTGGTCATTTTCTTGGTCACTTTCTCTTCTCTCTGCCTGGCATAGTCCCTTCTCCTTCCTTTGCTTAGCAGAAAGATCTTGCTTGCTTGCTATCCCACTCCTTCGTTGACAGAGAGATTCATGATTGGGCAATCATGCCTGCCTCCTCCTGCATTCTTACAGGCAGTTCCAGCCTCCTGGCCCTTCCTTGGCCAGGTCTCACCTCCATCTGATACAACCTCAGAAGCAGTGATCTGCCCTGGACCTTGAAAGTGGACAGGGTTTTTCAGAAGGCAGCACTGCTTAGTGCTACAAAGCCTTGGAGCACCAACTGTGTAGTCCTACCGCCCAGGCCTCACTGTTGACAAAAGACTCACTGAGTTGGGCTGCTCCTCTCCCTGAAGTGCTTGCCATGTTCCTCACAGGACTCTGTGTCCTGGCCTTGCTGTGCAACACCCTAAGTACCTACAAAATATTATTAGAAGCCACAGAAAGCATGCCACTGAGTTGGGGACTGCTGCTCTAGAGAAACTCTGAAAAATTGGCTACCCAGGAGAGGAAATGATTGATAGATAGATAGATAGATAGATAGATAGATAGATAGATAGATAGATAGATAGAT